GCGGGGGCGGGGGGGGGTGCGGGTTCTCCGGAGAAAGGAGGGGAACAGAGGGGGCGGGGGGGTTAATCAACTGATCATCAATTAAATTAAATTAAATTAAATTAAATTAAATTAAATTAAATTAAATTAAATTAAATTAAATTAAATTTAAATACGATTCAGCAGATTCTTTTTTAGGAGGAAAAACATGTGAGGTGTGAGTGACGTACGTTTTTGAAGAGCAGCTCTGCCAACTCCTTGACGTGGTTCATGACTTTGTGAGGATTGGTCTCCTCCTGCCGTATCCGCTCCACCTGATTGGCTACCAGCTGTGAGGACAGGACAGAGGTCATGACCCGACCTTTTCCTCGGACCACAACAACAGCAGTTCAACGTCACCGTTTCAACCCCTTTGTACTGGACCTACGTCATCAAACAGGTCGGTGCTCCTGTACGGAGGCCCCCGCTCTGACACGAAACCTGCGAACGCCATGCCGTCCAGCACCTTGATGAGGAAGTCGTCCTCCGCCAGCGCCCTCTGGCCCAGGAAGGCAGCCTAAAAAAAAAAACAAGACAAACACAGGTTACACAGATGTGTAAGAAAATATCAACACACTGAAATACTGTGATATATTTCTATTCAATTCTTTTTTTAAAAATCGTCGTGCCTACAGTATCGCAATATATCGTATCGTGGCCCCTGCATCGTGATACGTGTTGTAGTGGGACCATGTGTGAATATCGGTACCGTGGTTTTAGAATGAAAATGTTTGACCTTGTGGAAGCGGATCACTGGTTCTGGGTGAATGCGGATGATGTGGAGACACCAGCGGTAACCCTGGAAGAGACGAGCGAACAGCCACAGGAAGACGCCCCGGACCTCCTTATCCTGGAACACACACACACACACACACATTCACTGACGTGGACAAATCTACATATGCTATTATTACTGTAGGTGGCGCTATAAAACAGGAATAACCACAAGGGTCGACACGTTGAGTCGGATCAACTTTTAGAACAGAAGAAGTTTTTTTTTTTAGAGAAACTTGTTGTGATGCTCAACAGAACAGAAAAGTACTCACAAATAGTACCAAGTACTTTTTATGTACTCTTTTTTTCATCATGACCCTTGGAACCTAATCTGGATTAATTTTATTGGAATTCAAACGGTGTCTGAAGTTTCTATTTTCTTATTATTATTATATTTATTATAAATTCTTGCAGAAATGTTTAGACTCAAATGAGAGAATTGTAGAGAAACGACTTTAATATTTTCAGAAATTAAGATTTTTTTTTTTAGTTTAATTTAACAAAATGTAAACTTAAAAGAAAGACGTGTAATAGTAACAGAATTAAATTTTTAAGTTTATTTTAAATAACATTCTGGATTTTGAACTCACCTGAATCTTGAGTGCAGATGGTTGTGTGGACGGTGGAGGGAACGCATGGTCAGAGATTTCAAGCTCAGGGTCCAGGACCTGAAACGTGGACACAGAATGAAATCCCGACATTAAGTCCAAGACCAGGTCCAGACTAGACCAGAGACAAAGTTTCAAACATCATTCCTGTGGTGTAGCGGTTAGCACGCCTGCCTTACAAGCAGAGAGTCCTGAGTTTGAATCCCAGAGAAACCACCTATCTGGTGCCTCCAGGGGGCAGTGCTGCATCAATCAAGTTTAAATGATTAATTATTATTCTGTTAATTGCAACAGTAGAAGTGAACATCTAGAACCTTCTAAGGAGAGATCGGAAATAAATCCTGATTTACTGTCGGACCAGGAATCAGCTGCTGGTCCGAGGTCTCTGACATTTCCATCCTGCTCCGCTGTAAGAAGATCTGAGCAGCTAAGCCCAGTCCAAACACCAACACTAATCTACACCCGTGTCTGGTTTCAGTGACGGAGGTCAGACAAGAAAAATCTTTTTTTTTTTTTTTGCTCTTTGTTTCCAACCAGTGGTTCCCAAAGTAGGGGGCGCGGAGCTATGGCAACAAATAAATATTTATATTTATTCGTCCACGGGTGATAAAGTAATAAATCTGAACCAATTAGTGTGAAGCACGTGAGCTGACGGTCAGACAGAGATAAGAGACAAACACACCTGAAGATTAATTCTTCTTCTTCTTTCCAGTAAAACGTGCCATTGTTTCAGAACGTTTCCTGCATCACGGACACGTTTCTACTTCCCCACAACGTTCAATAAAAATGACTAATACCAGTCCAGTACCATCGACACCAGGTGATTATGACACCAGTGAACTGCAGTAAAGAAACGTGAACTTTTTAATTCACAGTGTTATAAGGAAGTGAAGAGTTCCATTTCTGAGAACAGACCAGGAGGAAACCTGGAGCTGCTACACGTGTCCAGGTGACTGGACGGAGATGAAAACAACGGAGGGAAACCAAGTGGATAAAAAACCAAAAACACGGACGGAGATGAAAACCAAGTGGATAAAAAACCAAAAACACAATAAAAGTCTCTCTTCATCAGAACGCACTCTTTTAGTCTTGATGAAGATAAAGACAAACTGAGGAGGAGGAAGAACTAACAACTAGGATGAACTTAGTTAAAAAGAAGGATTCTCAAAAAAAAAAAAAAGTTAAAGATCAGTTCATCTTATAAGTCCAATACATATATAAATATGTCTCTCAATACATACATATATGTATATATTCATATATATTTATTTTTTGATGTGATGAAGTTTTAGGTTCTGTCTTTTTTTGCATCTTTTTCTTCCAAGTATCTAAAGTGGAATATAATTCAGTATATTTAGTATAATTTATTTTTATAAAAAATCGAAGCGTTTATTGATTCAAACTCAGTTTCTAGATCCGAGGTCCATCTAATCAGACCAACGTCTACATCTAAGAAAACAAGACCTGTGTCCAGCGGCCCGACTGCCCCAGGGGGCGGGGCATCTTTCTCAGCTCTTACCATGGACAGCATGGTCTGGGTCTGTTGAAGGAGAGGTTCAGGCAGCAGGGAGATGTGGACGCACTCGGGGATGGTCACCGTACCACCGTCCAGGTCGGCAATGATGACGTCCAGCTGGACACAGACATGAGAGGACAGGGTTCACACACCACAGGGAACAGGACAACAAACAAACTCAACTCGGTTTGTTCACAGAAAAATCAGATTTTTAAAAAAATATATTTTTCTGTCATTTTTCAGACTCGTTCCTTTCATTCTGACAAACAAACAAAATGGAGTTTGGTCATGTGACAGCTGCTGTGGTTAAAGACAGGTGTGGACTTCAAATAAGGAATTTTAACCACTGTCCCTCCTCCCTCACTCACTCACCCCCTCCCTCCCTCACCCCTCC